CTACCTACCTACCTACCTACCTACCTACCTACCTACCTTGTATGCCACCGACTCCCAACGACTCTGGATGGCTCACAACTAAAACAAGGGAAATACAATAAAACCAATTTTAAAAAAAGAAAAAAAGACGACAAGAATGACAAACTGGATGGGAACGAAGCAAGGGGTCTCACTTTCCCTCACCAAATACCTAGGTGAACCGTCAGGTCTTCATGGCCCTTCTAAACAAGAGCAGAGCAGGGGCCATTCAGATCTCTGACAGTTCTGCTCTCTGCTGCACTGATCAGATTGCAACTGGAATAGTGTGTCCAGTTTTGATTGCTACAATGCAAGAAGGATTTTGAGGAATGGGAAAGAGCAACAAAGGTGGTGAGGGGCTTGGATGCTAAATCATAAGAACAGTTATAAGAACTGGTTATATGTTTAGCCTGAAGAAGAGAAGGCTAAGGGGAGATATGTTAGCAATCTTTCAATACTTGGATGTCAAAGGGAAGACAGAGTGGATTTAGTCTCTGTAGTGCTTGAAGGTTGGAAAAGAACGAATGGATGGAAGTTTTTCAGGGAGAGGGAGAGGGAGAGGGAGAGCGCTAAACTCAAAATTAGAAGGAATTTCCTGAACTGTGAGGGTTACTAAGCAGTAGAACAGCTTGCCTCCTGGAATCACGGGTGCTCCATCACTGAGATTTTCAAACAAAGGTTGGACAGTCATTTGTCTGGGATGACCTGAGGATTCCTGCTCTGGGAAGGGAGTTGGACTACAAGACCTCCAAGGTCTCTTCCAACCCTATGATTCTCTGATTCTATGTATATCAGCTTTGCCCTACTTACCCCATACAACTACTGCAGATTTTGTTTTGACCAAATCATGGCTCATCTGAAATGGTTTGGCAGAACTTCCAGAACACAATTTGTTCAGATTTGAAACAAAACACATTTTCTGTACCCTATACACTCCTAGTGAATGGTCCTGGGAGATCTGGATAGGATCCAAACCTTTATTCTATCACAGTGTTATGGAAAAAAATTGTCTATTAGTTTTCTATACTGCCACTACTCTGAAAATCCAACTAGTGAGAATATGACTTCCTTTACAGTATACACTGTCTGCCAAGAATCATCTAAAACATAGAAGCATACATAGCCTCACAAAAGTAAAACAGTCTACTAAAAAACCCTTACAATAGCCTTGTAAAATACAGAAAAATATTATTGTCCAAATGGCATTTTTAAAAGTTTCTGTTTCTGTCCAAAGACTGAAAGGAGGAAAATACCAAGGAGCTTATTTCTTAGTTTCATGGGCACTGGGGAAAAGCACTTACTCGGAGGTAGTTGAGTGTGGAGTTTGAAAGTCCACATCGAGTGATGTTTTTGGACAACTGGTCCAACATCTGGGGATCTTGCGCCTGGAGAGAGAATGTTAGAAGCAGAAATAGAACAGTCAAACAAAAATATCAGCATCAGCACATATTATGTACATTGAAGCACTGGAAGTTTAATCTTTTAAAATGTTACAGTATAACATCTGGACACCAGAATAGGATGTGTGGCTGTGAAATGTTTACATGGTTGTCATACAGCTCACCTTAAGTACTGTATGCCAGTACAGACCTGAGCCTAGAGACATTCTAAAAATCTAGACTACAATTTGATTCTTTTCCCTGCCCTTAAAGACTTTTAAAAATGTTATCAGCAAACACTTCAAGGGGCAGGAGCAGTACCTACTCAGATTGTTAATTTCTGCAGTGACAAAGCAATAGTTAGTTCACACACTGTGCTAAGCCACAATGTGGTTTGTTTGATTTTAGCTCAGAATGTTTTGTAAACCTAGTCACTGGTGGCTTAGCACAATAAGTAACTGCAGCCACTATGGCTTATTTAATCATCCATGAGTAAAACAAGCCACAGCTTAGCATAAGTCACAAAAGTGACATTTGCAATAAGGAAACCTGTGAAGATTATTGTTGGTTGACCACCAGTTAGAAACAACAAGGTTTTCTTTATTACAGAATACTCAAGCATTCAGTCCAAAATTATTCAGCCCAAAATTACCAAACTATTTTGTAATTACCAAACTATTTGGTAATTTAGTCCTCTGCTCTCCTGCATGATCTACATGAGTCTCAAAAAGTAATGGTGCAGCAGAAAAACCCTCAACGCTGTGAAGTGGGCACAAACAACCAATACAACCTGTCAAGACTAACCATCAGAAATATTTAAACCCAATCTAAACAAAGGCTATTACTAAATTCTGAACGTACATGCATAGCTAGGATGCTACGGGGAATAAGCTCCCGGTGCTGCCGGACACTGAAATGCCATGTCTTTATCCTCATCATGTCATCAAACATGAATTCCAAGTAGAGGCGGCCCTCCACAGACACCTGGGCAAGCAGAAAGCAAACAAAGGGCTATGAGATTCATGTGAATACTCTCTAAATAACTATTTCAACACTTGTATATTAAGTTTATCAACCATGTAACAGAATCAAACTCTGGACCCTTTTTTAGATTATAGCACCCCACTACTCAAGTTATACACCCAGAGTCATACTCTTTTACTAGAACACATCTGAAATTCATTTAGTGGATATCCGACATTCTATTAGTCCTTCTCAACAGGAATATACTTTTCTTGTAACTGCTTTCTGCTAGATTATTTCCTGATTTCTCATTCTTTGGTATCTAAAGTTAAAACATGAGATACAGAAACCATTATAATTTCAGAGTCGGTTCCTATGAGGCATACTACTTTATCTGAAAATTTTTTTATACATTCATTAAATGATCTTAGGGTGTATATTTGCAAAATGATCCTGCAAAACAGGAAATGATAGTATTTTCATAAGAAATATGAATTATCAAAGGCATTACTGTCCTTGATATGGAACATCCACTAAAGCTAAATATATGGGTCATATTATCATATATACTTCATATAAAAAGAAACAACAGTTGGCTAAAAAACTTACAGGAGACAAAGTAAAAGAAGTTAATGAATAAAGGCAATGGATGAAACAGTGTATGGATCTGGTAGAAGCAGGGATGACTTGCAAGAGTAAAGATATGGAGAGGTATAGCAATTGGTGTTGATGTAAACTAGTTATAGCTGTTTCCTGTTCTTTTTCTTATCACAGGCCTTTAATTTTGTTGTGTTGCTATTGCTTATTCCTTTTCTGTGCTCTATATAACACTGTTCACCATGGAACAGCATGATGGGAATGTACATAAGTAAGGTTAAAGAACTGATATTGCTTTATGCATCCCCATGCAGATATTGATCTTAGTCTCAGCTAAATACAAACTTAAGAGGTTTTATGCTTTTAAAAGATTTTTTTTATTCTATGCACAAATGGAGAAATCTAGTAAGTTGTTGGATGCTTAAGAGACTACAGACTCATTAATTAACTATTTAAAAATATTTTAAACTGCATAATACTAATACTTCATCAATAGAAGATGATATAGATATTAACAGCTACTTTGTTCTGCAAATTCCAGGGTATTCTTCCAACTCTATTCAGGGCCATCAAGCTTTTGACTTAGTCGATGTTTGTTTAAACTCAAAATATACAAGACAGAATAGCTATAATTTATGTGGATACCAAGAAAACCGTTTATATAATTTCTTGGCAATTTTTGAAGCACATGTTGATTTGAGTTTTTGAAAATAAAATTTGATTTATTGGGGTTCTCAAAATATAAAAAAATGGATTGATATGATACATTCAAATCTGAAATTGGAGTGATTGTTAATAGTGTGGTTTCTCTTTGGTTCCATTTATGTCACAGTACATGCCTAGGATGACCTCTTTCTCTACAATTTGGCTTTAGACCCCCGCCTGCATGGTTAAAAGTTCTGAAGATATTAATAGGAGACAAAGGAAGAACTTACAATTTTATGACAGTGATATTATGTTTTATTGACAGACCAGAGATTTCTTATTCCTAAAATTTCATTAGAACATGAGACTGGGATCCTGTCTGCTTAACCAAAACGGGGGATATTATATATGCACACACAAACACACGTGTACATACATATATAAAAAGGCAGGATAAAGTCATCATCATCAGTCACTCATGCCTTGGTCATCTCTCAGACTACATGGGACTAATCTTGAAGAGTATCCAGAAGCTGCAGCTGGTTCAAAATGCAGTCACGTGGACAATCTTGGGTGCCCCAAGAATGGCACATATAACAACCTTACTTCGGGAGCTGCACTGGGTCCCAGTTTGCTTCCAGGTCCAATTCAAGGTGTTGGTTATTAAAAGTTATTACCTTTAAAGTCCTACATGGCATGGGTCCAGGTTACCTGAGGGACCATCTCACCTCCATCACATTATCCCATCCTATCCCATCCAGTCAGATAGAGAGGGCATGTTATGGACCCCGTCAGTGAAAGAATGTCAGCTGGTGGGGCCCAGGAGGACAGCCTTCTTTGCTGTTGCCCCCACCCTTTGGAATATTCTCCCCCCAGAGGTGTGGTGGGCCCCTATCCTCCTGGCTTTCCAGAAAGGACTAAGGACCTGGCTCTGCCAGCTTGCATGGGGCAACAAGAATCTTAATCAATCCTGGGGGTGGCTAGTGTCCTGATGACACTCCCCAAACTACTTGCCAATTAATGTCAATTCTTGGACTATATTTATTTATTATTTATTCAGGACTATTTTATATTGTATTTTTAATTGATTTTAGCTTCTCCGTAAAGTGCCCAGTTGTTTTTTAACGAGATGGGTGGTGACAAATTTGATATATAAATAATAAATAATATATATATATATATATATATATAAAGTATTATTTCAGTGTTTTTAAGTGACATCAACAGGACTGTTAACATGATTCTGGATCATGTTAAAGGCACATATGTTCTTTTTGGATATATCTCGTGTACTTGTAATCTATCAAAATATCAAGTACTATGGATTTTTCAGGGATAGGAGTTGTTGTGAATATAGTTCCCTTGGCATTCAGCAGAACTCAGACATTCCCAATTAACACTTCTTCATGTAGACTTAGAATCCACATTTCTACAAGGAGTCATGGCTTTTTGTCAGATAGACAAGAGATATGCCAGACCCTTCCCCCTATTCTGCAACAGAAAATTTGAGTCCTTTAAAAGAGACAGGGAAAGAATGGAAGAAAAAGCTGTGAACTGAGGCTGGGAAAAGATACAGTCTCTGTTTAAAGTTTGGACTTGCAAGGAAACATTGAAATGTCTAAGTAACTGAGAGAGAAGGAATATCTATTTCAAGGGAATTCTAGCTCTGAAAAGGTAAGTAACAACATTTAGCTAGGAACGTTAACTTTAATCTTTGTTCTATCATGTTGTAGACTCCTTTTAAAAAATTTCTCTGTACAGTAATGGTGTGTGCTATAACAATTATTTTGATGCTTTCTCCTTCACTATTGAAGGTTGGCATTTTGGATACTTAAAATTCAAAATAATTTTTACAGTTCCTCTTTTCGCCTTTCTTTTTTAAGTAAAATTTTGTTTATCTCTGGTGTTATCTCCCAAGAATGGAGAGGAGGGCTGAAACCTTCAGTCACATACTTTTAAGATTGACAACCAGGAGCTGGAATATAGACATTTTAATGTTTGCATTCTGACCTTTTAATCATTAGAAGGGCAATGCAGGTTATGAGAGTCCTATCTCTCTCGAGAAAACAAGAGCAGCTGGAAGTCTAGGGAGCCTATATGGACATAAAACTTGACTGAGCCTCATTTCTTAATCACTTTCAGAAATTACTTCTTAAACTGCTTTTTAACTATTAGGTACCTTCACAATGGCAACTTTTAGAATACCGGGTGAGTCTCCTTCAATCCTTAGTGAAAGACATTTTAAATATAAATTTGAGGACTTAAAAAAAAAAAATCTTTTCTTTTGGAATAAACAGCAAAAGGGGGATCAGAACTTTTGGAAAGTTACAAATGGACTAAGGGTCCAGATGGATTTGAAGTAAGATCTTGAAATTAATTATAAGAATCCTTCCTATGGGAAAATGCTGCTGTTTTGAATTCTTTAAAAAAAAAACATGATAGGATGGGATTTAGAAGGTTGGACGCTAGAGGGAATCAGAACGAGCTAAAGATTACAATTAAAGGAGAAGAACATTTAAATTTGACTTACTAATACAGAATACAACAAAATATTTTAACATCAGATGTATTGAAGGATATTTGTGAACAATAAACTCAGAAGTTAATTTTAAAAATGTCTGCCATTATAGATAGACTGTGTTTAAAAGATGTTATGAAAGAGGAACAAGTTTTACCAGAAAAGACTGAGACTAATTTGAAAGTGGATTTAAAATGACAGGCTTCAAGAATGATGTGGAAAGATGCTACACTGTATATATAAATGAAACTAGCTGATAGCATAATAATTAAAAGGGATATACAAATAACAAACCAAAAAAGTGACCTGGATAACTTTCCTATATTGGATTTACAAAAGTGTCTTGTTAGAGTTTTGAAGGATTTTGTGAGTAGAGACAAGGAAAAAATGAAAAGAAGTCAAGTTCTAGGACAGTATTTGAAGGGATTAAAGATCAAGATTGTTGAAAGTAAAAGGAAGGAATATAAAGTTGGTTTATT